AGTATCATAATTTAGGGAATCGGGTTGGTTTCTAATGCGACAAGTTTCTAAATTAATGCGTAGAATACTTGAAGCTCTCTCGTGTGAGAGTGAGATGGTGATTAGCTAAGCTGAATAACCTTCCCATTCTATCAAAAATTGTATTTCTAGACAAGAGTTAAACATTTGTCTATGTACACAAATAATTTGTGGGAAGTTGATTGTGCATATAGATGAGTCTGCAAAATTATACACTCGATCATCTTGAATAATTTAGATAAAACAAAACATATGGTCCTATTCTTTTAAGATTATTACTCCTTTTGTCCTTTAAAACTAAGTCAAGTTTGATCGGTACAGAGAATATTAAAGTAAACACGGTGTGCTTGAGTTCTGTGCAGAGGAGTGAGAAATAACAGAAATCATAAATTAATTTATTAGAAAGAAAAGTGGTAAAGTTTTTGGGATATCCCAAAAAAGAAGGATGACAGAGTTTTAACAGATAGAAGGAGTACGTTTTGAAACCCATTTCGTGACCTTGTTTTTCTGCTTATCGGGCTTATCAGTCAACTTTTTAACCAAACACGTAACTTTTCATTTCGCTGTTGAATTGTGTCATAACAAGAAAAGGCGCCCATTTGGTAATATCTGAATCAGTTGTATTGGCTGATTCTGCTGAAAGTTATGATGTTCTAGCTGAAATGGCTGGATTAGCTAATTCTGCTGATTCAAGAAAAAAAATATATTTAAAATATATTGTATTAATAATTACACAAATGGGCGCCATTTGAAATGGCTGGATTAATAATTCTGCTGAAAGTTATTTGAAAAATAGCTTCAAACTTACTTTTTCTTATTATTACACAATTCACCAAGCAAAATCAAAAGTTATATGTTTGGTGAAAAAGTTGACTGATAAGTCTGATAAGCCGAAAACTAGGTCATCAAACAGGCTAAAGTATGGTTCGAGTTAATTTTCTAGCTTCATTGGTTGAAGTTACTGTAGAGAATCATTTTAACTATTATTTCATATAATCTTTTCTTTATTTTTTTTAATAAAATACATTTTAAATGTATATTTTTTGTAAATCAACAAAATCAATTAATTCAGTCACTCAGACCAAAACTTCATAAATTTCAGAAGAATCAACCAATACAGCCGTTTTAGGTTTTGCCAAACCGGCTCTTAGTCTTAGTTTGAGCAATTTTTTCCTTTGAAAAATAATTGGAAAACTTTGTGGAGCCTCCTCTTCGTTGGTGAGGTTTTTGAACTAGGGACACGTCTAGGAGGGCCAAACTAGACCCTGATGCATCCCAAATTTTAAAAATGCTTACATTTTGAAGGTAGAAAATTCATTGTAAAAAAATTCTCAAAAATTTTGTTTATATCGGCTTACATTTTATAGCTTCACCCTTATTTGGAACCTCCTTCCCTTGTTTGGAACCTCATTCACATGGTTTTTAATTTCTGATATACTTGGGATGGAAAAGCTATTTTGAGCCTTTCACTCCTAAAACCTCCACAAACCATGTATTTGGAGGTGCTAAAGTAGGTAGCATTATTCACCCCACCCCATGAACTCTTCGTTGGATGAAAGGATGGATGTAACTCAACGGGTAGATAGAGAGTGTCACAAGCGATAAGTCTCGTGTTCGAATCTTGACAACTGTGGTGAAAGTTTACTATGTAAAAATGCAGGGGCATCTGCAAGTACCTCCGTTAGAACCTCACTCGTTATCTCAAAGCTTGTGATTAAAATCCAATTCACATCTTCTCAGTTAATTGGCTGGCTAGCGCTAGGGGGGAGGTGCGGAGAAGAGGCATGGAGGAGAAGGAGAGACAAACCCAAACAGTCTTGGATTAGATGAATCAGAACTGATAAGTGTCTTCGTGGGTTGGATGAGTGTATGGCTTAGGAGAGCAAAGTGGACGGCGCATTTTCGTGTGGGCGGTTGATCTTTTTTCTCTCTTTTTTCTCTCGTTTTCTCTTATCGTTTATTTTCTTTATCTTTCTATACTCTTATGCTATTTTTATCTTTCTTGTATTCTTAAGTTATTGTTATCTTATATTTATCTTTATCTTATCCATTTTATGTTACTTTATTTATTTATTTACTTTATTCTTCTTATCTTTTTTTTTGCTATGACATCATGGATCGATTCATGTTAGCCTATCCCAAAATCTTTCAAGAGTAAGGCTTGGATATAGTTGTTGTTGTCTTCAATTATTTTTATTTAAAAATAGCTCTGAAGTAACAAAAATTAAATTAAATTCAAATTTATTTATTTTCACATCAAAATGATTCACATTTTAAATCATAATTATTTGCAAAAATTATCGGAAAAAAATTGATGTATAATAAAAATGTAAGATCTTGATTAAAGCAAACTTTGTAAAGTGAATATATTAACGTTACGAGGTTTCAATAACAACTGAAATGCATATGTAAAAAAGATTTATTAAGAGAGCTAGGTTGCGTTTAGGCGTCGTATCCAATACGGGGGCAGTGGGGGTAGATGCCCCCCCCCCAATCCCACCCAACTCCTATATATATAACCTAAAATTTTATAAAACATTGCTCAAAATAGGAGTTAAAAATAAAATCTTCTATCAAAAATAAATAAATAAATAAATAAATAAATAAATAAATAAATAAATAAAAATCTTCTATCAAGCGGAAGAAATCTTTATCAACCAAGGAATGTATACCAGAGATCTGATCAAAAGTTTCGAATAGAAGGCAAACCTCATGTCAAGATCTCCATGGACACATCTCAAGGCATTGGACCAAATGATGGACAAGATCTTGATCCAACCATGTACAAAGGGATCATTAGATCACTTTTGTGCATAACTGTAAGTAGACCAAATATCATGTTCTCTGTAGAAATCTATGCAAGATACCAATCAAAGTCCAAGGGGAATCACCTCAGTACTACTAAAATAATCATTAGCTACATTAAAGGAAATCCAAATGCAGACCTTTGGTACCCCCAAGGAGGTAACTTTGAACTAATTGGTTACTTCGATTCATATTTTGCACGTTGCGGGTTATGCATGGAGCATGTATCAATAGATGATCAACATGCATATATTCTCACCAAACCTCTCAGTAAACCCAGATTCAACCAGCTTAAGGATGAACATGGTATGATAGCTGACTTACCCATAGACCACTGAACTAGAAAAACTAACGCCCAACTAGTGGGACCAACAAAGTATGTTGAAATCACAAAGGATGAAGAAACAAAAACAGTGTGGGCAGCCTTAAGAGTAAGGCTCAGAAGACTTCAGAGTTCATAGAGTTGAGAACCGGAGTTGCCCAGAATGAGATGAAATTATGTCTCACCAGAATTCGGTGTTTTCTATATTACCAGAAGTTCGTGGACTTTAGGATATTCGAGGAACTATGCGTTAACCTACCTTATGTGCTTAAGTGGACTCTTTACTTCAAAACTCATGGAAGTTATTACAGGCGTAATTTATTAAGCCCCCCAACCCCCACCCCACCCCACCCCAACTTAAATGTGAACCTCGAAAAGTAATTTTAAGATGAAATGTTTCCCACCCAATCCCATATATACCATTTCATCATTACATTTCATCAAATGTAGCTAATTTCAAAGTGGTGAGCAGAAAATGCATTTTTTCTGTCACCTTCGAAATCTCACACCTTCAAACTTCACCATTACATTTAATATTAATTACATTTGATATTTTAATATTTGTTACATTTTAACATGTCCAACACAATTGTAAGAAGGAGATTTTGCAATCTCATCCTTCTTCGCGGTCCCGTGGTAAATGCCACATTGGGGCAACATCGTCGACCCAAATCCATGATGATTGGGAGACCAATTATGACTGTAGAGATTGCATGTCTGACGAACAAATGTCGCAACTCTTGTTGCAACACTCAGGGCGGTTTTTCAAGAAGAAACCCTTTCGGAGATTGACGAGGAGTTGAATGATGACGACGCCGAGGAGGAGCCCAAGTGGGTGGAGAGAAACGAGGCGGTAGAGATACCCTCGACGAGGGGGGGGCAAGGGAGCAGTGCCGGTTCATCCAAAATCAAATATCATCTTTTTAAATTTCATTTTACTTAAGAATGCGACGAAAGACAAGTGGTATGCAAGTTGCAAATATTGTGAACAAGTATTGTGAATGAGGTGTCGGGGGCTACAGCACCGTGAGTAGGCACTAAAACTCGAGGCACCTGGCTAAGGCAGCGAGGACAAAGGGCAAGAACACTCAAACACAAATATCGAGGTTTGAAAATGATCAACCCTTTGGTAACTTTAGGGTTAAATGCACCAAACCCCCCTCGTGATATAGAAATTCAGCGCATTAGCCTCCTGTGATTTGAAAAATGCGTCAAACCCCTTGTGTTTTAATTAATCATGCACATAACCCCTTTTATGACTAAATTTAATGATTTTGAAATCACTTTTCCTAATATTCGGATTGAATATGCAAGTAAATATGTCAAAATCTCTAAATCATACAAAAATGTTAATCATTTTTATTTTATTTGACAATTGAATTTGTTCATAGAAGGGATTTTGCGCATAATTAATTAAAACACAATGGGGTTTGACGCATTTTTTAAATCACATGGGGCTAGTGCGCCGAATCACGGGGAGATTTGGTGCATTAAACCCGGTAACTTTATTTATAATGATTAGCAACATTTAAAAGTTGTGTCTCAATTAATATGTGAAGAAAATTTGCCTTTTGTTTAATCTCAAACTCTTGTTTTACGTGCTTATCCTTGAGGTTATTCAAATCCGCAATTTTGACACTATAACCGCAAAACAATTAAAAAACGAAGTTATTCAACAATATACTTTGAAATTTTTTTGAAATTTTCAAGAAAAAGTGGCATTTGTATTACTAACAGAGTTTTTCTTGGACAAAAATATGACTAGTTATGTTTTTTGGACAAAAATATGACTAGTCGCTATGGAAGAGTAACTGGATAAGAGTCATTACAATGTATTTCAGAGTGACAAGTCACCGGTAGATGATGAATCACTAAGAACTAGTCACCGAATATGTCACTTTTTGGAAAGTTTCAAAACAAGTCATAGTTTTTGTCTTTTGATTTTAATTTAGTATTATTCATGGAAAAAAGTCGATTTTCGAGGCCGTGTAAGTGTTTGTAGTGATATATGGGAAGATACATATCATCACTTGTATGATTTGGATGTAACTTTACATTTTATTGATGATGATTGGTACATGCATAAATTAGTTAAATTTAAATAAATAACACACCAGTGATAATATTTACTACGTACTACGTATATTATTTGGGTGTGACTTTTGGGATTAAGGCACTGATGTTGTTGTTGGGTGTGACTCTACTTTTTTTTATCATAGAACATTTTTTAATTGAATATAATTTGCTTGATAAGTTGTTTGTTATAGGTTTTGGTAAGAGTACCGAAAATACTATTGTTATACGCGTGAATAGTTGTATTATTCCACCTTCTCTGAAACTACTCGGGAATTCCGATCAACTTCAATGGCTGGGTTCGCAAAAGCATTCAGCACTGCGAGAGATGCGGCTTGTACTGCCTGGGGCTATACGAAACAGCTTCTGAACTCATCAACAGACCAACCAAAGGCTGGAGATCAAACTTCCCAAACCGTAGATCTTCAAGCGTTTCTTTTGAAGCCATAAGAAGAAATCCTGAATGGGATGTTTGGTCAAGAGCGGTGAGACGATTCTGGAGAATTGGATGAAGAAGATGTTGAGGTCTTTGAACAATTCAGCCTGTTGGCGTCCGAAATCGTATCCATTTGGAAAGAATTGCTCGGAAGCAAACGGAAAATCTACATAGTCACATAGGGAAAGAACTCCTTGGGAAACTCTTAGAGGCCAACCAAGAAAGTGAGAAGAACAAAAAGGTGTCAAAGTATACTCTATCAAAGTATACTGCAAAAGTTCTTTCAATGATCCTGAGGCATTTCTTGGTCACACTCTCCCCTGCTTACATTCACTCCCCAGTCTATAGCTCTATGATCACTCCAAGACATGGTATCAGAGTTATTCTCCAAGTGCAGCTGTGCAGAGAGATCAGAGGAGAGTAGGACAATGAAGATCGTCAAAACTGTTGGTGTGGTTGCTGGTGTGGCTGTTGCAGCATGGGGTATAACAAAGTTGTTTGGTAGTTTCGGACCGGATGATCCAGTTTCAAAACCTGAACAAAGAAAGAAGATGATGAAGAATCCAGGAAGGCCTCACCAAGTCATTGAAAGGAATGGGTTTGAATCAGCACCAGCAGTGCGCTTCAAGATGAATCATGAGCTGAAGAAAGCTGAGAAATTAGCAAAGGGAATCAAATAAAAGTATTATATCGAGCTTCGGTATTAATTGGTTTAGTTTGGTGTTATCCACAAGACTATGACCACTTTGTAATGAATGGTCTTCTGCATTATCGTAGTTTTAGAAGTGTCACTTGAAACCAATCATGCAATCACCCTCCAATTTCAAGGTTAGATTACCCTAAAAAAAACCTAGATTGTGTGAATTATGTGATCTTTTTATTTTGATGTGTAATTTTTTTTAGCGTTGTGCATGTCATATTATATTTTATGTGTGAAAGATGACTTAACCGCATCAGGATATGTCTAAACGTGTTATGTAATGTGCTTTATCTAATGATTTATCTATTCGTTGAAGTAGTACTTATAAATTAATTTATGTGATTCTTAGGTTTAGGGACCATTTCCCTGTTTTTTTTTTTGAAAGAAAATTGTAACTACTCCATATATTATAGAACTGATTTAGACGGACACCATGGAGAAAATTTGCAACATGTTAGTTTATATCATAACTTTACTCAATCTTTTTTTCATGTTTATACACCTACTAATAACAATTTTTACAGAAGTTATTAATCTAGTTGGTGCTTTACAAGACTTTTCTCAAACCACTTATGTTCATTATTTTTGTGATTTAATGAAAGAAAGGTTTTTAAAATATTATGCCTACATTTCACCTATATATGTTATTGCTTTCGTTCTTGATCCTCATTTCAAACTTGCTAGTTATAAAACTTTTAAGAGTACTATTATAGTTGTTTTTACGATGAGTTGCCTATGTACAACGAGCACCCTATAGATTCTCAAGCGCAATTCAACGAGGTTATCAATCTATTTTATCATTCATTTGATGAATTTCTTGCAAAATATGCTAATGTAAAAAAATCTTTTTATATCTACAATATTTAATCTTTTGAGGGAAAAAAAGTAAATATACTCCTGCTAATGCACAAAACTCAATTAATGTTTTGACATTAATATATAATGTTTCCTATGGAGTATGAAGAAGGAGAAGAGTTCGACATTCTCCCATGGTGGAAGGACAAACAAGGAATGTTCTCGATTTTATAAAAAATAGCGAAATAAACGCTGTCAATGTCGATTTGAATGGTTGTCGTTGAACAAGACATTAATGAAGCCATCAATGTTCTAGACTTCTAGTCATTATAGAACGTATGGTTGGACTCGGGTCGGGCCACCTGGCCCGTGGACCGGCCCGGCCCGCTACTGTGCGGGACCGAGACCGGCCCGCTACTGTGCAGGACCGAGACCGGCCCGGTTCTCGGGTCCAGGTCCGGATCGGACCTAGGCCCGGAGGGTAGGGCGGGTCCGGGCTCGGGTCTCAAATTTGGTGAACCGGCCCGGCCGGGTCGGGCCCAGGCCAAATTGAATTTTGTTTATTTTTTTTCATTTTTGGGGTTCCACCCGGGTTGGGCTTGATGGGTAGGATGGGTTTGGGGGGTTTGGGAAGGTGGGAGTGAGGGGGGGTTAGGAAAGCAAAAAAAAAAAAAAAAACCAGAGGCCCTGCCCGGCCCAACCCGGACCCGGACCGGACCCGGTGGCTACCCGGGCCAGTCCCGGGTCCACCATTCTTGAACCGCCGGCCCACTCGGGCCTAGGCCCGAGCCGGACCCGGCCCAGACCCGAGTCCACCCCTAATAGAACGAGGTTGAGCACGCAATCTTTTGAAACGCACATTTGCTTCCACAATTAATTGAAGACTCAGCTCTAAACTCATGAACTTAACATAGCAGTATAGCACCACCCTGACACTACATGGAACTGATGGAAGAAACGGCTATTGTCAATTGTGATTTGCATGTTGACGCTCGAAGCGAGAGTTCTGACGTATAGGAAGTGCATGTAATGTAACTACTCTCGATTGTGATTTGCAAATGTCTAATTCAATGCAATGTTTCAAATAATTCTACATTTCATTTTTAATGTACAACATTTTTTATTTATATTACTAACAAATTAAAAAACGCCCGAAATAGTCCAAGACCAGACTCGATATTGGCAAGTACCCAGGACTTGACCAAGACCCAGTCTTGTAACTTTTTTCCCTTCTAATAATTTTAAACACTGATATACATAACTCAAGAGTTAGGTAACTTTTTTATGCATTTGCTAAAACTAACATTAAACATATACAGAGTAGTTACATCTTGATGCATTGCTAAAAGGAATGCCAAACATATTTAACACCCAGACAGACGCAATGAAACCTTGTTTAACACTCTGCAAATACAAGCTAAATCACTATACTTCTAGAATCGAGAGGCTATGATGCCACAAAACTAAATGTTCCTTCTACCAATTGATTTTATCCCGAAACAACGAATACCACCAGAAGGAAATGACACACTTCACCAAATCCATGCCCAAGAATACCGAAATTGGTTCATGCTTCATCTAAGACAGCAAAAAGTAAACTAAATTTGGCTATTACAATACTACAATAGCTTTCATTGAACTTTCTATACATCAACCTTTACAGATACTTTTTTCAATTTTTTGGTGGCTAGAGATGGAGGCTAAGCCAGTCAGATGTGACAAAGTAAAGAGGACGAAGGATGCACACACCCAACCAAACAAACAAAAATATACTTAATTGGTTGGTAACTAAAAAATTGCTGTGAATACTACAAAGTCTCGATCTATATGCACTAGACAATGAATAAGCTCCTTTTTTGCTTTTTTTCCTTACTTGTTGAAGAACAGGCCCCTTTTTCTATTCTTCCTTTTCTTCTCACCAGCCTGAAATAGTCACCTTAGCATTAACAGTGATGAAGGGATGAAAATGACATGGAAAACCCCTTCACGATATAAATAATCTCTTAGTTCAGTTCAAAAGCAGGTAGAACTGTAGAAGTGGGAGATCAATGGGGGGCGAGGAATGGAAGTCCTTAAAAATGATATTTTGTTCAAAGGAGTAGAAGGAACTGCTATTTTTAAAATGTAAACAAATTGTATAGTTATTCAATTCATCCTGATTTTATATGTATAATAATAATAATAATAAGTTAGAACAATTGTGATTAAAGGTGAAATGAAATTCACAAAAAATGACTCTCCCAATATGAGCAGATTGGAGTAATACATGGCTATTTGTCCAGCCCCCCCCCCCCCCCCCAGGCCCCCCTGGAGTAAAAAAAAAACATGGCTATTTGTCTTCCCCCTTGGTCCCCCACCCAGACACACACCACTACTCAGCTTTCCTCCCTTCCACTACAAAGCCCTCAAGCAAAACAAGGGCTAACATCATCAGCAGCAGCAGCAACAGTGCAAACTAATTTACTAAGTTCCGCCGAGGGAAACGATTCGTCACACGCCCTTCTAGTAACAAGTTGCAAGCCCAATAGAAATCTCCCATTTGCATGGAAAATATCATGCGGCTATGATGATGAACACTAGTTCAAGATTTTGATCAATAATAAATTGGAATAATGGACAAGAATAATCCCAAGAGTGGCTTAGTTGGGATTATTCTGGACATAATGGCTAGTGATCTGCTTGGAATAAAGTTGTCCCAATAAACTTCGTCATTTTCCTATTAAAGTTACTATTTCATGGTTCTGCTCATTTCTCTCTCCTCTGCACAAACTTCAACCACAAAATTTTTATTATTCTTATTTCTCACCTAATTCATAGAGTGCAAAGTCCATTGGGACGGAGGTAGTATTTTCAGAATAGAGTCAAACATTTTGTATTTCTAAGGGATTTTAATTGGTATTTCTACATTCAGAACACAGTTATGTGCCTCTTAGCATGATGCATCGAAGATTCTTTTTCGAACAAATGCCAAAATGATGTTTAACATCAGTGTTAAAAAAATCCAAAGCTGACACCCACTATAGTATAAACTCCCAAATCACACCTCTCTAATCAGTAAACAGTAAAAAAAGAATTGAAGTTGTACCTTTATGATGAGATATTTCATGATAAGAACAATAGTATCCCTGGAACTGCAATATGATATATATGCACAGAATGTTCAGCTAATAAGAGGAAAATCATCCATGATAATGAAAACAAAGCATAACAAGAGAGTAAACAAAATACACTGTTGAAACACTCTACTCAACTAACAACATGGATGATGTGTAGTGCGTAACAAATTTGAAAGCTAACCATCACATAATTAAAGTGTGATAATGCTCAACAGGATACGAAGTTTACTGCGGAGTATATAGTTCTACAATAACCAGTTAACCACACCCGTAGATAAAGCTTAATGTTAGTTACTTGTCAAGCTTTCATCTAACTCCGCCATGAGATCATTTTGGTATCATGCCTGCACTAGGTCAGGATAAAGGAGGAGGTGTTATGGTAGGCACGTGACAATCAACAGTATCACTTAGTCACATCACATGACATGAATCGAAATACGAAAATCATGGATCAATTCATGTTAGCCGACCCCAAATTCTTTTGGAAATAAGGATTGGATGTTGTTGTTGTCGTCGTTGTCAAGCTTTCATCTTCAAGTATCATAATGGTCAATGGTCATCGAACGTCTAAAGGAAGAAACACAAGAGCAAAAACGGAGTGTGTTTTATCATTCTTCAAGTGGTTGAGCAATTAATTGTAAGCGCAACCCTCTAGAGTGTGAGGTGTGATAGCTACCCCTGTTGCATAGCCACAGCCAATTTAGCAAAAACGTAGTGTGTTTTATCACCCGTTGAGTGTTATGGTGATGGGTAACCCTGTTGCATAGCCACAGCCAATTTAACATATGAGGTATTTCCCTACTCCAAATGGCTCACTAAACCGTCAGTCCATACATATTCCAACGCGACTTTCATCATGGGTCATCCGGAATTAGTCTTTTTGTGCTTTAGTACAGGGATAAGGCTACTTACATTCGACCCTCCCCCACCCCACCATAGGTGGGAGCACTGATGCTAATAGCACGCTATAGCGACGGACATGGCTGGCGCTACCAGACGACCTGTAGCGTGGTGTTTGGGTGTTGCGGACATAGCAAGCGCTCTACAGGTAGGGGCAGACGTTATAGCAGCGCGTTTTTGGGATCTAAGGTCTGCTAGGGTTTTTCTGCATTACTTTTTACTGCACAGTTCGAAGGGTAAAATAAACTTTAAAAACTAAATATTAACCAACTTAAAAACCTTGTACATGTACGCATAAGTGCAGAACTTTAAAAAACGGCTCCTCTTTTGGAAATACTCCGTATGTCTTCTTTCTGCTCTACGATAACCTCTCCTTCAAGAACAACACATGCTGCACTCCTCTTTGCTTCTTTCCACTAGTAGTATATCTGCTGCTTCATCTTCTACAAAACCTCTGTTGCACTCCTCTATAACAAAGCAGAATAATTAGAGCTACTGAAAAGGCTACCAGCTCTAGAGGAAAGGGTCGCTCAATCGAACATGTTGAAGTGGCAGAACAGACAAATGTGGAGGAAGAACTTTATGATTGCGATAGTAGTGATAGAGTTGGAAGAAGAGGAATTTGATAAGGAGTGGTGAATGATGAATTCAGAAGGCTTCGAGTCGGATCTAAATTTTTTCACTGTTAAACTCTTAAACCACAAACTTGTTTTTTATCCAATGTTTTGACTTAAGATGTCTTGATGATTAATAGCTTCTTATGTTTTGCTCATGAAACTAAGGAGTATATCTCGGTAATTTAGGATTTATGAATGTTAAGATGTTTGCACCTTTCATTGGCATATATCATACTACATCCATCCCAAAAAACTGTCATTTTTAAAACTTTGACCAACTATATATTTTTATTGAAAATTATTTATAATATAAAAATGATATGAAAATGTTCTTTGTTAAAAATACTTTCATAAAAATATAAAACTTATAACTTCCATAATATGATACTAATCAAAATCATGGTCCAAATTTTATGAAACGGTAAAGTTTTTTGGGACGGAGGTAGTACTTTTTTAATTCAAAATGTGTATGTAGTGTAATTATATGCTTTCAGTAGTTACTTATCTATTATATTTGAAAGTAGTCTAAATAGCTGTCATCCCGCTATACAGCTATAGCATTTTCAAGGCTGGCCGCTATTTGGGATTGACAACACTGGGTGGGAGCCTTTGCGGCACTGGGGTTGTTGTTGTTGATGTTTTGGAGTAAATAAATATATTTTTAAAAAATGGGCAAGAAGAAAGAGAGAATATTTGGGCTCCAAAAGAAGCTACAAAATAAAAACACTTGCCCATCAAAAAAGACACCTCGAGAAGGAAATAACCATTAATTATTCATATTTGTTGCAAGTCAATACAAGCTACGCAATGGTTTTCTTGTTGATCTTCTGAAACCATCTCAGGCATGAATCTCCTTAAGAGCAATCTCACATACACCAAAAACTGGAAATACGAATGTACAATACTTGGAAAGTTGGACAAAGTGAAGACTTACTAGCTACTATCAGTTGCCCTCAACAGATGCTCATATCCCTGGCTGTCGGTTATTGAAAACTCCCCAGGGCAGGCAAATGGAATAGAGACCTGGCATAGAATTAAACCCGGGTATGAAAAATGATCAGAAAATATATTCAAAACAACATCTACAACAAAGTGAATACTGAAGTTCTTTTTCATAGGTGATAACTGAATATATTATTCATGTAGACAAATACAATCCTTGACAAATAGAAGAGTCTACAGAAGATTTACAAGGAGAACGAGTTTTAAAAACAATGAAAAGCACAAAACCACCTATCACCTACTAGCTACAAACCAGAGTCCAAGATTCTTCAAAAGTATATGTTAGATCAAAATTACGTAGTATATGGATATCCGGAATTATAGAATGTGCAGGGAAGTTGTTAAGTTGGGAGCAACTCATCCCAAAAGGGTCCTCAAGAGGTGAGGTTTATCTGATACCTATATATCCTAGACTCAAACCCAGCACGCACAAGTAAATCTTAAGGGTAGTCTTGTGTGAAATCATTCACTAAATTGTGGATGTGCATATGCGTCAGTATCAAAATGTCAGAATTAGGGTTGCTAAGCTTGGGAAAAAACCACTCTAAGCAAAACAATCCATTTATGTTAACCAACTAGCAGAAAGCAGACATGACATGTATCAGGTTTCTACAACATTGTGAAACAGCTACTTGGGTCAAAAAATCATAATCACTATGTTGATACTTGATAAATCCACTCAAGTCAAAGGAATTTACGCTGAGCTAAACAATCAAGTGTTATCTTACAATACGTAAAGAACCATGATATCATGTGGAACAAGAAAAAGGGATGAGATAGCAACATCAGATGCAATTAAAAAAACCGGAAGCTGTTCAAAAATAAATGTTTCCATATTTGGTCAATGTGTTTCCACATGTCAAGGCTAACATATCAAGAGCAATGCATCCGTAAGGAAACCGAGACTTGTAGGATGCAATTAAAGTTCTTGACAAATAAGAGCACGTACAGTTATAGATTGTGAAAATTTTTCAGCAACCACAACACTGTTGGTTCCACTAGATCTAATACTGAAATCATCCCTCTTTATAGCCATAGTAGCTGGCTCCCATATGTCTAGATATCCTGTCTGGAGAGCAAAGAAAAATAGGGAAAAAAGTACATCACTAAGAAGAGTTTTGTATTTCAAACAGTGGATATAAAGTAGCTTTCTGAAAAATATATAGTAGCCAATTCAGAATAAATAAGAACTTGTTGCATTTTCCTACCCATGAGGATACTTTAAATGAAGCGTGTCCAGAGCGAAGTGTTCTCTCTATGCAAGTTTGCATTTCAGGATCTATCAGCATACAGCATATAAACAATATTTAGTCAATGTATGAAATGCATATACACAAGGCATGTTATATTTGCAGGTTGCAGCAAATAAACAATGTCAAATCATCTGTAGGAAATATTATGCACAAAGTTTTTATAAATTGGTTGCAAACGAAGGAAGATCTGGAGCTATAGATTTGATACAACCCAAGATAACCTTTTATGAAGGGTAGGGTGTTACAAGAGCCAAAACCAAAGCATCAAACACTAGAAGTCTTTGGATTGAACCGTTGAAGATCAACACTTCAGGAAATATGTTATGGCGCAGGGGTAACATGACTACCAAGCCCGAGCAATGGGTTCCAGAAGCCCATCATCTACATGGAAAAAGAAGGCTTGATGTGACTGGCTTGGAAAACAGGCTCCAAAGCCTGCTACTCCACCCCCAGCCTATTGCAAAAAGGCAACTTGGGAAAGGGAGGCCTTGTATAGTTCAATTGTTGTAAAAATCCATGTCTATCAGCAAAGATCCCCATTGGCACTGTAGCTCTCTTTGAATGCACAAGTGAGAGTATGACTCTGAAAAGAGCAAAGTGGGGGGCGAATATTCATGTGGAAGATTGATCTCTTTTCTCTCTTTTTCTTTTATATTTTTATCTTCTTTATTTTTCTTATGCTCTTTATCCTTTTTATTCTATATGTTTTCTTTTTATCATCTTTATCTTATCATTTTTAACTTTTATCTTATATTTACCTTTATCTTTATCTTATCTTTTTATCTCTCTTATCTTTCTTTTCTTTTTGGCTCTGATATCTTGTATCAATTCATGTTAGTCAACCCCAGAATCTTCAAAGACTAACTGACTAAGGCGTGGATGTTGTTGGTATCATAGTTGTCATGGCGGTAAGGCGAGTCGCGGCGCCAGCCGACCGCCATATCGCCTAGGCAATAAGGTGCCTGCCTACTGCCTAGGTGACAATTAGGCGACTAGTCGCACATTATATAAACATAATATATTATACGTAGTATATAATTACATACATAATTATATATATAATTATATATAATATTGTATTTAAATATATTTAATTTGTATCTTATTATACTACCTTCGCCCCAAAATACTTGGCCAAATTTAAAACTCTGACCAATTATATATATTTATTGGAAATTATTTATAATATAAAAATGATATGAAAATGTTCTTTGTTAAAAGTACTTTCATAAAAGTATAAAATTTATAACTTTTATAATATTATACTAATCAAAACCATGGTTCAAACTTTTATAATATTATACTAATCAAAACCATGGTTATAATACCTACGTCCCAATTATTGTTGTTGTTGTTGGGGCCCTATCATAAGTGCTTATTATTTTACTGTATTATTCAATTCAATCTAAATATATTAATATACTAATATTAATAAACTGCAATAAAAATATGTTTATGAAACACAACAAAGAAGAACCTACGTATTTATATAAAAAATACTTTGCGTCCCACTCAGCCACTCCCCACTCCTAAAAAAGCATACACCTGTCAACTTGCAGTATTAGACAAGGTAGTAAGGTACACTAGACGAAAAAGTACGCTCACACAATTCTCAGTTGCTCACATGCGGGTATTCTACCGCTAGAAGAAACAGAAAGAACAAATAACTAAAAATAAAAAATCTCCTTATCAACCTAGAGAACCTGGGAGCGACGTTGGATGTACAACTTCTCTCCGCGAGGCAGAGGCTGGAGTTGTATGGGACGATGAATGGTCAAGTAAGATTTGGGCTTTATTTAAAGTCCTAACTCCTAATTAAAATAGTTGTCTAAAATTTTGTTTCTAAAAACTAAATGTGGACCTTCGGTTTGGACTACGAAATACTCCGTATTATTTTTTGACTAATTGTTTGGCGAACGCCTTGTCGCCAAACCAACAACTGGACGACGACAGGAGGACGACATGGTCGCCTATTCTTCTTCCGGAGAGGCGATGGCACTTGGCGACCTCTCCCCAGCGACTGGACGCCTAGTCGGCGCCTAGGCGACGCCGTAACAAGTATGGTTGGTATTGTTGTTTGTTATTGTTGTTGTTGTTGGGGCCCAATTAAATCCAAAATCCAAATTGATCCTGCCTAACACAAATCTCCAAGTAGGCCCTAGGACATCGCCTACTGCCTACGGGATGCCCACCGCTTTTTACGACATCACATCTGAGCATATAAAAGTGTTGCTTATGTCCCATGAGTTAATCTTGTTTCCCCTCCCAGTGACGTACTATTTTCTGAAAGAATGTATAATTAAGAGTTGACTCTTTGACCATGCTCCAATGTTTTACACCTCAATGCTTCATTATTGTAGTTACAAATAGCCTAAAACTCTCATGTACTTTTGGCTTATGAAAAGCAAACTGAGCTTATGTCTTTCTTCGTTGCCTAGAGTTCTCCTGTAGAAGATCTCTAAATCATTGCTAAAGTAGAAGCTGTCTTATCAGAGTGTGAGGTCACTATTGCACACTGGGTTCAAAATTCATATCAGCAAATAGAGCTTGTTTGAACTTTGAAGCATTCCTCACACCTTGAGTTCAACTTGAGCTGGGGTTTCAAATAATTTCTCACATTCTAAAATTCATGGAGGGATGAGTGCTACAGGCATGTGCAGTTGGGTAAAGAAAATGTTGAATTTGAGTCTATTTAGAAAGTATTTATGGCTTCCATCAAGAAACATAAATAATACTCCCTACGTCCCATAATGTTCTCGTTTGCTATATAATTATTTTTTTAGTCACTAAAGTTTTCTGATTGAGAGGGAAAAAGGTATAAATCACATATTTTTTCCTTGAGCAGAAAGGAAAACTTTTGGGACAGTCAAAAAATGTTGAGGAGGCGTTTGATTTCAAATAATCTCTATTTATAGGGGTACACCACTGCTTCTCAAAATCTTTAACACTGTTTTTGAACCCATAACATTTTTGTCAAAATAGTATTCTTTCTATATATAGAAGTGCAAATAATTTCAACATATGTTGTGGAATATAGAAGTGCATTGTTAAACATATGCGCTTGATAATGCCAACATTGAATGTTCAATCAGATTTTGCATAATGAATTTGAAATTACCACAAGTAATTTTCCTGTGCTCATTTGCAAAAACCCTCACTGCTTCACCCTGAAAATAAAAAGAGATGAAGCCATCTTAGTTACCACAAGCAATGTAAAACAAAAGCCGTTTTCAAATACAAGCAAGGCATCATATAAATTAACTATGAACAAAACTCCGTACTCCCTAGCACAGTTATCATCTAGGATGAAGCACGACACATACAAGAAGTATTTTGACTATTCAGTAAATTTCAAGACCTTACAGCACATTTGGTTGAAAGAGACAAGAATTATTTTCCACCTTAAATTCCAAACTAGGAGAGTTTCCATATGTGATTTGTTGGAAAATTTATTCCAAGGAACTACAATTGTTTGAACACGAGGAATGTTTCTTCCGCCCTTCTCTTTGGCATTTTAAATTCTGCATGAGACGGGAAGAAATATTGGTTATCCTTGGATAAAAGTGCACTCTAAAAAGCTGGTTAACTACACAGCTATATTGACCTAGATAAAATAACTTATTAGTTTTTTTATTATATCACGATAGGTTATCTTCTTTTTACAATAAAAACAATTCAAAATGATTATAATTTATTGGTTAATAATATCACTACGCGTGAGCATTTCATTCTGAATACTATTATAGACATGAATTATATCTTAAAGGTTGAGGTGCATAATTATAACAAATTTGATGTAATAATTTATATACTCTCTCCCGTTTCAATATCCTTGTCCCATTTTTCATTACTCGTCTGTCCAACTAAGTATGTTTCATATAATATTTGGTAATATTTGTGTGATTCTAATTCAATCTTACTTTATTCACTCTTTACTAATTCAAAATCAACCGCATAATAAGGGTCCCATAATTATACTTTGAAGAATTTTCTGTGTATTTGGTAAAAATTTTCTGTGTATTTTCGTAATAAGTGCAGCACTCCCTCTTGTCCCAAACTTAGGGGGCTGGGGTCCGAGGTAGTAATATGTTATACTTCTAAAATATTACAATCTGGTAAACATAAACCTAATTACTCTTCCCATTATTATCAGCCATTTTCCTTTACGACTAGTCGACTACTATCCCAAAATTTTCTTCCCACTTATAACTAAAATGGTAATACCCAAACACTAAAATGCCTGAAATATGCCCTCTTACATTTACCCATCAACGCAGTACCACTCCCTGGGCCTATGTCCGCTCTCTCTCATCTCAGTCCTCACTCCCCATCCATCACATGTCCTTCCCCTCTTTGTCTCGAATCATAGTCTGGACTCCGCCCTTATTCATCCTCCTCCATCGATCTTTGATACACTACCATCTTGGAGATTCACCACTTCCTTTCTTACTTAACTCTTTTTTCGCTGTTGTATAGTAACCCCCAATTTCCATCATTTGCAAATGGAGTCAAAGACTCACTATTTTTAGCTTGGGAATATGATGGAATAAAGCAAAATGGCTCACTAAACTGTATGCGCTTCTTTGTTATGAGTCAAGAGTTCATGCATTTTTCAACGTGATTTTCATCACGGCCTCACGGGTCATTCGGAAAAAGCCTCTCTGTGCTTTAGTACAGTGGTAAGGCTGCGTACATCCGACCCCCACTTGTCCCACCGTAGATGGGAGCCTTTGTGGCACTGGGGTAATGTTGTTGTTGTATAGTCACCTCCCAGATCGAGAGATTTGTTATAAACTTTTATGTTGTCTTCGTCTTCTCCCATTGACCCTTCATCCCTTTGAACTCCATCACTCCCTTTCTTACTCGATATCCCCCGGGCATCCTCGATTTAGTCGACTTTAGAGCGGTTTGTTTTCTATTGAAACCCTAGGTCATCAAAAACCACTCATCATCAATTAAAACTCTAAATCTATAACCACTAGTTCACATGGTGGTGGTAGAAGAAGGCAGCTGTAGCCCTAGGGTTTTCTACAAAAGGCAGGTTTGAGATGAAGAAAGAAAGATCAGCATGTATCCAAACAGTGGCCATAAAAACCAGGTGAAGAATACAAGGTTCTGATGTTTTGGGACTGTGAAAGATAATATAAGAATATGCTTTAGGAATATACTCTAGATATTATTAGTGTATAGCATATTAGCATCTTATATAGGAATATTCCATCTTTGTAATCTTATATAGGAAAATACACATATAATTCCTTTCTCCTCACTCCATTATTATTATTATTCTAGTTTATAATTCAACATGGTATCAGATGCATCCATTTCAGTTTATTTTTCAGATTTCAGTTTAGTTTTCAGACTCTGTTCTTTCTCCCAGAACCTGAGTTCAGTTCAGAACCTCTAGGTACCATTCTGTCTCCCAGAAACTCAGTCCAGGATAGAACCTCTCTACACACCATCACCATTAAACAGAACCTCTATTCAGAACCTTAGTTCAAGCAAATTCAGAATCTCAGTATCAAACAAACTTTCCCATATACACATAGCAAACAATCCAATATTTCATAAGAGAACAAATCAAATTGAGGTTGATTGCCATTTTATTCGAGAGAAGATACAAAAATGATTGATCTCTACCGGATATGTGAAGACTGGAGAACAACTTGGAGATTTATTCACTAAAGCTCTAAATGGGAATCGAATTGATTACTTATGTAACAAGTTGGGCATGATAAATATCTATGCTCCAACTTGAGGGGGGAGCGTAAAAGATATTATATGAATATGTTTTAGGAATATAATCTAGATATTATTACTTATTAGTGTGTAGCATATTAGCATCTTATATAGGAATACTCCATCTTTGTAATCTATATATAGGGACTGAACCCTTCAATCAAAATACACAGAAAATTCCTTTCTCCTCTGTCCATTATTATTATTATTATTATTCTAGTTTATTTTTCAACAGGAACCATGAAGATGAACTGCACGAGGACAAAGGTGGAGAGCAAAGTCTCATGATTGTTCCAAGAAGTGAAGGCGAAGATCCCTAAGGGCATGTTGAAGGGGAGTCGGCGATGGAGAAAGAAAAAGTGGATGAGGTTGAATTGAATCCTATTCACAAGTGACAAGTGCAATCTGGAAGACTTGTTCAGGTCCTAATACCTACCTAGGATCCTAAAAATGTGGGATGAAGGGAGTTTCAAGTCCTAATCTGTGTATAACCCTTTGGCTGTTTATGGCTTGTTGATTTTCTATACTGATAAATGAATTGTGAGTGTTCATGTGTGCTATGGTGACTGTGATGACTTGCCTCTACTGTGTGTTCTATACTGATAAATGTAATGTGCTTAATTTTGCTATAAGTAGTTACCATGATAAGCTACCAGCTCGAAATACTTAATATGATGATCAGTTCTCTGTTGTTTTACTATGAGTACATACTGTCATTGTGCCATGAGTTATGAGTAGTTACATGTTTGGTTTTGTGTTTGCTATGACTGTTTACTTTGATTGACACTCTTGATTAGTTGATGTCTGATCCTCTGCTCAATTCAACTCTCCGTAATTAGTGTCAATTCAGGCTATGCTTTTGGGACAGCTATGATAATAAGTGTGATATTTTTCACTGCCTTGACTTCTTACATGTGACGATTTTGCAACTCATATGGAAGGAGACTTATGCATCCGATGCACAAGTCGCGCTCCTGCATAGCGGTGAAGGAAGCAATCTTTCTGTTTTAGTGCTATGTGCTACCTATCTGCCAACTGCATTGATGTCCAGCCTTATCCAATAAGCAAAATGCCAAAAACATATGGGCTATCCAACATGCAAAACTGTATCTTAGATTGAGATCATCACTGAAGATGGAGAGGTCATCTTAATTTATGAGCAACCCAAAATTATTCTCATGGATCTAACTTCTAAGAAGTAAACTCTTTAGGCATTGAGTCTTGCGACAGCTTGCCTTGAATGGCCTCTGAGGCAGCAATATCCACCTATATTGTCATAGGTATCCTCTTCTCCTTTGCCTCTTGAGATAGCTTATAGTAGCTCCACCATTTGACTTTCATTCTTGGCAGCTGATTGCTCTTTCAAGTACTGTATTGCCTTAAAGAGTCCTAGGTCTAGTATGTAAAGATCTGGGAAATTTGGAGACTGGTTAGTAAGGTTAATATTAAGGATGTTTTTACTTGGACTGTAATTTGTTGGTCTGGTCTGGTCTGGTTTCTTTGTATTTTTATAACTATCCAAGTCTATTCTGGTCTGGTCTGAACTGGTCTGGGACGAATTACAATCCAAGTAAAAACATCCTAAAGCCATCAGATCTGACTGGTAAGAAGTTTGACATCATATAGTGGAGAGCTCCCCTGTCCTATAAAAAGTTTTACATTTGGAACCATGGATGTGTCAACGGGTTTGTTATCTAACATCTTTGACGCCTCAAGAACATCTACTGCATGTTTTCTATGAGACACATAAATACCTTCTTTGGATTGATCTACTTCAATACTAAAAAAGTACTTTAGTTTGCCAAGATATTTTGTCTCAAAGTGCTGAAACAAATGTTTTCTTAAAGACTTGCAACAGAATTTGATGGAGAGGATTTTGTGGAAGGACATTAAGAACTTCCCCTTGTAAACTAGACAAAGGCATCCGACTTATGAGATAACAAGAGTGAAGTATAGCCTCCCCCATAATTTCCTAGGAATCCTATTATGAACAAGCAAAGTGCACAGAAGTATCACACGCGAAGAGAAAAAGGAAGTGAGGAGATATAAGGGAGAACTATCAAATAAGCCCTTGAACTTTCATAAAAATCGCAAATAAGCCCTTTTATAGGAGGCTTTGTCCGGCCGTCGCCATTTGGGGCGGTTTCCGGTGGAATTTTTTTATGAAGTTTTTTTAGTCTCGTCTTCATTAAGTCTAGTTTATTCATACCAAATTTCAGCTAAAAATTCAATCGGGAAGGCAGTCAAATGATTTTCTGAAATATATTGTGTAGAAACCCTAGTAGAGTTGGGCTTAGCCCATTTTGTATATCCTTGTATATGGAACCCTAGTGCTCTAAATAGCTATAAATATAGCTTCTTGTATAGCATTATATATCAAGTATATGAAATATAACGATACTTGTTCACATGGTATCAGAGCCTATATGACAAACAGTTTAGGGCGCTGGTTTCCGGCATAATTTCCGGCGTGAACAGTAGCTGCGATTGGTGTTGGAGCACACTTCCGGAGTACTAGGTATTATGGTAACTATAATTTCCAAACGGAGTACTAGGTATTATGGTAACTATAAGGATCTTATAATTAACATTGTATGTCCCGGAAAAGACTCAGTGTTGGGGGTTGACAGTGTAGGGACAGTTTCTGCATCTCTTCTAACATATGCCTTTATCCAAGCATTAAAACCTGACCTCATCATAAATGCAGGCACTGCGGGTGGGTTTAAGGCAAAGGGTGCTTCCATCGGAGATGTGTATGTTGCATCACATGCAGCTTTCCATGACAGAAGAATACCTATCCCAGTATTTGATTTAAATGGAGTTGGCTTGCGGGAAGCTTTTCCCACTCCTAACCTCTTGAAGGAACTTAATTTGAAGGTTGGGAAACTGTCTACTGGTGATTCCTTAGATATATCACCTATTGATGAAACCTCTATAACTGCTCATGATGCAACTATCAAGACATGGAGGGAGCAGCAGTGGTGTATGTGTCTGATCTTTTGAAGGTGCCTGCAATTCTGTTGAAAGCTATGACTGATATAGTGGATGGTGGTGATAAACCTACGGCTGAGGAGTTTTTGCAAAATTTGGCGGCAGTAGCTGCTGCACTTGATGAAGCTGCCACCCAAGTTGTTGATTTCATTAGTGGCAAGTCATTCTGTGAGCTTTGATTTGGTCCTATGTTTTGAGTTAATCATCTGGTTTATGAGTAAACCATGGAATTCCACTTATTGTTACTCAACTTATTCCTAATCTCATTTCTTTACACAACAATTGTATGTAGATTACTACAAACAATTGGCTTTACAAGGGGGCATTTGGTGCACAGTGCACTTATGGTGGACCTGGGAGTGCTTCATATTGCTCAGGACTTGAAAGCACAGGCTTGGAGTGATGAGGATTTTTGGAGGCTCTTAACCAGCTCGAAGAAGGGCTGAAAGATAAGATTAAAAAACTGAGTTCATTTGACAAGTACAAGCAAGAGGTGCTTCTTGGTCAAAAGTGATGAGTTTTATTATTATTTCTTTTATTCTCTATCTACTTCTATTCATAAGGTACACTAGTGAGTGTAATTGGCAAGAATATTTGCTTCAGCACGTACAAAATCTCAAACACGGGATTTCTTGTAATGTATTAGTTGTACCGGAATCGAATTGTTCTTTGGCCTGACATTTAAATTTCCTTAATTGCAAAAATTCATTTACTTGCTTGATGATGCAAAAAAAGAGGGATGAGGTTCAGTCCATTAATCTTTAAATAGTTAAATGTTTTTATCTCTTATAAAAAAAGAGGGATGCGGTTGAGTCCATTTATTTAATGTAGTATTTTTTGCCAAGAATATTTATTTTTAGTATTATGTTGAAACTGAGTTGGCCGCCTAGTCGGCGACTAATCGGCGCCTAGTCCGCCTAGGCGCTAGGCGGTGCTTGACCGCCCGACTAGCGCCTAGCGAATTTTAGAACATTGCTGAAACCTGTCGTGAATTAGTAATGTCACAGTTTACTGTAATCTTATTTTGTTCTGGAACTCCTTTTCAACACATGAGAGAAGTTGGTCTGTGTGGAATGGAGGCAGCTCAATAGATAAATTTCCAGTGAGACCTTAAATAGCAAATAAGATCACTGAACAGATAGGTCGGCTTTTAATAGTACATTGATGAGATCCACTGTTTACCTACTGCATCGACCGCTTGATGGCGCCACGCCAAGTAAATGAAAGGGATGACCTTATGGTTTTCTGCTAAGTTTTATTTATTTACAATCTTTACAGCTTCTTCCCCCTTTCTCCATTAAACTTTTCAACTGTCCTATTTATGTCAAACAAAGTCAAGGTACCCAACAGCAAGTAGATCATAGGATTCATGACAATTACCTTTCGCTTCCTGTCATCCAGTGGCCGCACTTCAATGGCGAGGTATGTATCAACGTCATCAGCAGTAACAAGATATACAGGTTGCTGGGCACCTGCCATTTAACAACACTATGTCTTCAAGATTACCGATAAAGAAAAAAGTTACCACTAACTGAAAAGAACAAGTAATCTAAGCAGAATACCCTCTATGTAACTACAAGATCCATCTTCCTTGTGCCGAACCCACTGTTAAGTCCAAAAATGAGGCAAGAAATAAGTGGACTATAACAAATATGTATAATCACAATTAATGTTGTATGATGGTTTCTGATGTAATGATAAATTGATAACAGTACGAATGGTGTTAAACTGTCAACCATTGGAAGCAATAATCAATATAGCATGACGAGAGCCTAGAATTAAGAAGCACCTCAAAAATGCAGCTGGTTGTTCCATTGATGGAGTATCCAGACGCTTGGAGTTCTCGTCCCGGACATGCTTCACCTGAAATTTGGAGACCCTCTATTGCAGGTAAGGGATCATCATCTGCAGCTGTTAAATGCTTTGACATTAGGTCACATCTGACTGCAAGATCTTCAAAGTTGTAATAGCCAGTCAAAAGAAGCAACTTTTACCTTCTGACAAGGAAGAAGTAGGTTCCTCCATAACAGGAGGTAAATATGGGGAGTATGTGGAGATTGGATCCTCTTGTGAAGTTGCATATGGAGAGCTTTTAGAAACCCAACTGGCTGAAGGTTCTCTATCACTTTGAGTTCTCTCAATGTCAAGTTCATATGTCACAGTAGTGCTGGTAATATCACTAAATGTCACTTGTTTATTTGGTATTTCTTCATTCGTTGACTTAGAAATGGGTTGGTCGTGGCTGATTGCAAACTGGGTAGATACACCTACAGATACATTACGCCTGCAGAGCAGGGTTAATCCGGAGTAAATAAACACATTGATGATTTCATGAGAGAAATGATTTATGAATCATAGATTCAAGATTGAAGGCACAACTATAACTAGAAAAATAGAAGAGAATATGCAACTACATCAAGCCTTTATCAGATATGATATCCTATACGGCTATACCCACTAAAATGCAAGTAAACAGTAGGCAACAAAAACTTTGAAAGAGAAGTTAAGCTTATATCAAGATTATTTAGCACATGTTTCTGGTAACGAAGATTAATTCCATCCTATTTAAAATTATACAATGAGAAGGTATCATTTTTTATTCCAGGCAACATGAAATTCATTGTTGATTCCTTTCAAGTATGAAGAAAAAGGCAGAGTTCAATTGAAAACAGAACCCACCACAAAAAGCAGGTTGGAATTGTACAATCAATTCACAGTAAGACTCTCCATTTCACCAGGCTCACCTGCTTGCAGATGGTGAAAAACTTCTGAAATCATTTCCACCCATGCCTTTGGTAGTATCACCAGTAATCTCATAGTGAGGACGGCCTGATGGATCCTGATCTCTTCCTGTCCCAAGCTCAGTAGATCCAATCACTCTTTCACTAGAATATCTTTGATGCGGTACCAGGTCAAGCCCATCTTTAATCTGGTAAAATTTAACTTTGCTATAATGCACATCCTAATCCATAGTATTTGGGCAAGCTGTATGTAATCAGTATTACCTCAGCAGAGTCAACAGGTGACATAGCAAAATTGGAGTTGACATCAGACAACCAAGGAGCCATTTGGTACTGCGACTCCTTTAATTTCGCCTATGATTCCAAGAAAAAACAATGAGCGTGTTCAACAAGGCACAGTACACTGAAAATGTGAAGCACTGCTATAAATTTCAAAAACAAACCTCTGTAACAAAAAGCTTTTCCTGCAAATGTCTGAAAAGAATCTGCAAGAGCATCATTTTGTATATTGTGGGTTAGTTTTGGAAAATTAGAAGCCACATACAATCTCTACCAAAATGGTCAACAAAAGCATTGTTTCATACAGGTTTTATAAAAAACAGCCTCTTAACTATTAGCATTAAGAAACTGAGTTGTTTTCCTTAGCTTCACAGGTTGCAGAGCTTTCTTAGTAGATATTTTTTATGTGTTAACTCTAAGCGATATAGGAAAAGTAAACCTACCCCTCCAATTTCTCTAGCAAAATAGTCAATCTTTAGATATTATAGTATCACATTTCTAGATTATTAATAAATGAGAAAGGCCTAATATTGTCAATGCAAATTACATGCTCACACATCCTTTTAGCTATTCTGTTGTTTCAAATTGGTGTTTTGGCCTCCAATGGGAACAGATTTTATGTGGCATTAGAACCAAAATGAATTATTTTTCATTGATAAAGTATTCCTTTCCGCTGATGGTTAGGGGATATTGAGTGATGCGCCTGAACACCTAACTCACAATCCATGCATGTGTATCCTCACAAAAATGTGGGACATATTTGAAGACATCCTGATAGGGACCTGGCAGAAGAGGTCACTAATAATAATATTAATAACTAGTATAAATAGCAGGAGAGGGGAGAATAAGAGCGAGGTCGACATTCTGTTGGGATTGGACCGGAATCTGGGAGTGCAGACTATTTGAAGAGTCTCAAATGTTCTTCTCTTTCTTTCTGTTCTACGCCATTGTAATTCTGCTAGGGTTCTGTGAATTTCATCAATAAAATATCCCTTTTCTACTGTGTTGGTGAAAGGAATTTTTACGCATCGCCAATGCAAAAGGCTTGAACAATATCGAACACTACCTGGGGGAGATGAGAACTACATTGGGCAAGTTGCTGGGGAAAATGCGCAACAAGTTGCATCAACAGAATCGCCGGCGAACGACAATCGAGGACCATTAGACGCTGCCGGAATTCGGAAAGCAAGGGTTCCTCATCGTCGCTGGCTGCTGTTTCCAGTTCGCAGTGGCTATCAGATATTCAGATTCTCTGAGTTCACAGGTTTCGTCTCAGTGGCAAGCAACTTCTTCCAGTCTCTGGCTTCATCGTGAGCAGATACTGTCAGTTCCCAGGTTTCCTCATACACGAGCAGTTCAAGTCAAAGCACGATGCGGTCGAGAGGAGAAGCTTCTAGTTCGTAGGCTTCGTCTCAGGCTTCATCATCTGCTTCTCACAGTCCACAAGTTCCATTGCTAGGTCATGAGCCTGTTAGCTGGTGGAAACCTTTCTCTGAAGATGAGTTTACAGATGGCAACGATGAACGCGAGGAGCAATGTACGGTTGTTTCTGGACCTTAAGGTGACACTTCTTGCAGTCGGGAGGTGCAGACCACATTGATCCAGATTCCAACTCCCCTTCAAAAGATGCCTTGCGTGAAGAGGTAACTAGTACTCAGGGACCAGAAAACATGACACATTCATGAAAACGGCAGATAACCGTGGAGAATTTTGCTTTAAGGTCCCACCTGAGATTGTATTTAATCAGGTGCAAGTAAATAGAGTCGGATCTGTCATATGCACGGGAGGTGTGGATCTGTTTCTCTTGCTCTCGTGCATCTTGATGGAAAAGGTCCAATTACCCTTGGTTCACCTGCCAACTTGGGGGGTGGACCTTTTGACAAAAGAGAGCAGAAATACAGATTCTCTCACAGAGAAAGCTGGTGGAATTGTTACGTGAGAAAGGGGAAAATAGTTTGACTTCTTGGATTATTCTTTCTTTCGATCACAGGATGGGGTGATTGGTGACATCCAGGCCATTTCTCCAGGAGGAGCTTCAGCTGCAGAAAGAGATGGAGCTTTATTATCAATTGGTGTTGATCCTGCCAGTATAAATCTAAATCTATTACTTAATGATTTTGAGATGGGAAGATTGTGTGGGGTAGCAAATGCCCTTGTACTTAGTGAGCAGGCTTCCTTTGAAGTTAAACTCGCTGCATCTATCCTGTTTTTTGACCCTATTCAACAGTCCTTAGCTCGTGGGACAACAGATGCCAATGTGGATTTAATTAATGCCCAGTCAATCATCTATTGTTGGTTTGCTTCTCCAGCCATGTTCATTTGGAAATAGAATCTGAAGTGCTTATGAAAATGGATTACGTAACCTCATGGACATTACAGAAGATAAAGCTGCTCTTGCTAGAGGTCAACAACATTGGCAAGCAAAGGAAATGCTTTCAGAAAATTTATGTGAGTTCATGTTGACAATGTGGGGCAGCAAGAGGTTTGTAAAGTTAAATTTGCATAACTTGGTGGAGTTGGCGTACTGTGTCATTAATCTTCTGCTATGTAGTACGGAAACTCTCAGGAAGGAGTACGTTTCCGTTTTGGAAACTCTCCAAACAAGCGATTTTTCCCGTTTCCCGTTTCCTCATTATTTTCGTGTTTCCGTGCAACATAGCTCTTCTGCAGTTAACAGAGCAGCAAGTCCACACAGGGTTGAAGGATGCCAAAGCTTTGAGTTTTCATAGTCACAAGGTCCTTCAACTCATCAACGACATGGACACACTCATTGCTGGGGAGGATGGTTTGTTTCTGGAAAGACTGGTTGCAACAATATCAAACCAGTTAACTGCTACAGATGGAGAAGCACAGCACAAAGAAACATGTGTCGCTATTGAGTGCGGGAAGGCTACTGAAGAGAATGAAAATTCACTAGATACATCTGCTGCAGAAACATCTGAGATTGTGAAGGTTCAAGCACTGAAGCACATGGTACAGCCATCCGAGCAATACTGGGAAGGCAGAGGTGCAAGGATGAAGCTGTTGGTCAGAGCTGTTTCCTGCCTCCCACCTTGAGGATAAGGTGGTTGTTGAAGGGGGGATGATGATAGGGACCCGGCAGAAGAGGCCATTAATAATAATATTAATAAGTAGTATATATAGCAGGAGAGGGGGAAATAAGAGCGAGGCAGACTGGGAGTTGGGAGTGCGAGACTACTCGAAGTGTCTCAACTGTCCTCTTTCTTTCTGTTTTACGCCATTGTAATTCTGCTAGGGTTCTGAGAATTTCATCAATAAAATACCATGTTTCTACTGTGTTGGCTGAGTTCCCTATCACATCGGTAGTCTTTTGACTATAATGTATGTGTCCTACATCGGAACATCATTAAGACATTGGTGGAACTAGTTAGCATATTAGATTCTATCTTCTTGTGTGGTTTGGCCCAAGTGTCTTATACTCTTATCGCCCACTTGAGTGGCCCAACCCAATCCTGAAATCTCCGAGCGTCATATGATATGCCCCGATAAGAGGAGAGAACTACATAATCTTGGCAAGTTAACAACTTGAGAGTGTTTTTTTTTGTAAATAATGGATGCAACCCATGTACATAATGATTCATACGATATACTCAGAGAGAAACACTTGAGTAACAAAATCCCTTTTACAAAACTAAATAAATTTGATTACCCAAGCGAGATTTTTCAGTCTGTAGAATATCATTTCTATGCTAACCTTAATGTTACCAACAATTGATTGAGCATCAGCTACAGGAGGCTGAAGAGAATACTCTGCGAGTAGTGGTAATAGAGATGATACAAATGTTGATCTTTCTTGTTGTGCAGCCTGAGATTGATAGCGTAAACATCAAAATACAGTAGTTGATAACAGAAAAGATATTTAGGGGAAAACATCCATTAAACGCGGGATAGGTCATTTCTAGTTATTAAGAAAGATCTAACAAAAACCATGAACATTCATAACATTCATAATCTCTCTTTTGGAAGGAGATAAAGAACTCAGCATGCATATTAACCTGAAAAGCTGTAATCTGTCTTAGGTGAAAATTCAGAGGTAATTCATTGCATGATGATCTTTGGAAGATGGAAAAGTGGGAAAGAACCATACGTGTAAAAAAACTCATGTAACTAGTAACTCAACGTAAGCTTAGAAGTTATAATAATTATAGCAAACAATGAAACATGTAGTTCTACAGGCATATGGGTATACGAGTATATCCTAAGTGCTTGTTTCAAGACTAAGATAAACTCAGTGGTGAATAAAATGTCAAGTAATCAAAAGTTAAATTAGATGCACAGATTAAATCAGTTTTATTAAAGCATGTTTCCTCGGCTCTGGGCACATTAGGATGTTTTTACTTGGACTGTAATTTGCTGGTCTGGTCTGATCTGGTCTGGTTTCTTTGTATTTTTATAACTATCCAAGTCTGGTCTGGTCTAAACTGGTCTGGGAGGAATTACAGTCCAAGTAAAAACATCCTTAGAGCACACTACCTCATCTCTGTGAATCTAATGTGACAATTCATTCGGCATTTTTGTGCCTGTATATTTTTCAACAAAAAGGTGGTGTTGCCAGTCAAAAATAAGCACCGCGAAGTTCAAATAAGATCACATATACTCCTAACCGTGCTCCATGTTTTTAAAGGACTTCAAAATACAAATATTTCATGCACATAATGCAAATCATGGATCTCATTAGGACAATAAATCAATACATAGGAAGTAGCAAGAAAAACTATAATCCTGAAAATAGCTGTTAGATATAATACATTGTTTGTAATGACTCTAAGTCAGTTAGTATTCAGTTAGTTGGTTAGTTTAGTTGAGTTGTAGCACTCTCTAAAAATACTCTGTACACTTGCGTTACTTGCTTAGTGAAATCATTACATTTATCATTCTCTCTATCTCTGAATTCTATTATGGTATCAGAGCTGTAAGCTCGATCCAACCATGGTGAACTCTTCATCCACTTCTTCTTCAATTCCAGGAAATTCTATTCTTCCGGTGATTCTCAATCATCCTCTTCCGATCAAACTTGACTCAAATAATTTTCTATTTTGGAAGCATCATGTCAAATCTGTTATGCGAGCACACAAACTCCTGAAATTTGTTGAAAAACCTAAAATTCCTGAGCAATTCATCGTCGGCAATGGTGGCGAGACTACTATAGTGAACGAAGAGTACGTTATATGGGAGCAACAAGATCAGATGCTATTTTCCTGGATTCTCGCATCACTCACTGAATCACTTCATTCTCGTGTGATTCATTGTAGACACTCATACGAACTCTGGAGCGAGATTCATAAATTCTTCAAGTCGCACATCATCGCACGCACTCGTCAACTCAAATCTGAACTCTATAATACCAGCAAAGGTGATTGATCTATTACTGAGTATCTTCTGCATATTCAAAGCATTGTTGACAACCTTACAGCTGTAGGAGAATCTATTTCTCCTAAGGATCACATTAATGTGATCCTCGAAGGTCTTCCTGAAGAGTACGAAGCTCTTGTATCATCAATTTCTTCCAGACGCATTCTCGATCCAGCCTCTCTCTCTGAACTCAAAGGATTATTGCTAGCTAAGGAACTTCGAGCCAGAAAACAACATGAATCTTCACAGCAAAATCTATTTTCAGTTAATGTTGCTCGCTTAGAAACCTCCACTTCAAATGATGACTCTATATCTCAAAGTTCTACAGAAAACTCCTCTGCGTATGTTGCTCAGGTTCCATAATTCCAACAGTAATGCTCCATACAGAGGTAGAGGTCGTGGAGGACCCTTCAGAGGGCGTGGAGGTCGTTCTGGAGGTCGCAGTTCAGTTGTTTGCCAAGTCTGTGACAAAACTGGTCATAATGTTTTGGTATGTTATCACAGGTATAATCCTACATACAATGCTTCTATGCTTGGTGCTTCCCAATCATTCTTTCCTCAACAAATTCATCCACAAACCTCACAGCCTCCATACTTTTCATCTCAACCAAGCTTACCTCAGAACAATACACAACCACACTTTCCAGAAAATCAAAATTGGAGTCACTCCTCATCTCAATCACCTAATAACTTCTACCAGATACCTCAATCTTCTACCAACCCTCTACCTAATCCTTACACATCTCAAGCAAACTGGAACCAAAATCATGTACCCACTGCTGCCTGGGCATCTGCCAGCCCCTCTATCCTTGGACCTCATCCACAATCTAGCAATTGGTTTCCAGATTCAAGAGTAACACATCATGTTACTGCTGATCCTCTCAATTTGCAACATAGTGAACCTGTTATCACAACTGACAAGCTTTTCATGGGCAATGGTCAAGGTTTGGATATTAAGTCTATTGGTTTCTCTTCCTTTTCCTCTAGTTATCATCCCTCTTATACTCTCTTTCTTAACTATATTTTTCACGTACCCACTATAACCAAAAACTTGCTTAGTGTTAGTCAGTTTGCCAATGATAACAATGTCTGTTTTGAATTTCATCCTCATGAATGCTTTGTTAAATCTCAAGCTTCTAAGGAGGTTCTATTAAATGGCATTCTAGGTGTTGATGATCTCTACAAGTTCCAGTCTCTTCCAGCTCTTGATTCAAGTCATTCAGTTTCTTAAAATAAGTCCTGTAATAACATTCAGTCTTGTAATAGTTCTAGTTCTTTTAATCTATGGCATTTGAGGCTTGGTCATCCTCATCTTGAGGCTCTAAAATCTATATTGAAACTCTGTAATGTTCCTACCATTAATAAAAGTGCAATTGATTTCTGTTCATCTTGTTGTCTTGGTATTGCACATAGACTCCCATCTTCCCCTCCACCACAATTTTTCACTAACCCTTTGAATTAATACACTGATCCTATTGAATTTTTCACTCACCCTTTGAATTAATACACCGATCCTATTGTTTCCTTTGATGGTTATTCCTATTATATTTCATTCATTGATGCCTTCACAAGGTACACATGGATTTACTTTCTGAAAAAGAAGTCTGATGCTCTTGAAGCTTTCCAAAACTTTTATCAATGCATCCTCAATCAGTTTTCTGTCTCTATAAAATCTATTCAGTCTGATTGGGGAGGTGAATTCAGATCTGAAAAAGGCATTACACATAGAATCATTTGTGCTCATACTCATCATCAAAATGGTGTAGTTGAGAGAAAACATAGAACCATTGTTGAGAAGGGTCTGTCTCATCTAGCTCATTCCTCTTTGCCTCACAAATTTTGGGACACTGCCTTTGCAACATCAGTCCATCTTACAAATAGAACCCCTTCCAAATCAATTGCCAATTTCAGTCCATACTTCAAGCTCTATGGTTCCATTCCAGATTACTCCTTTCTCAGAGTATTTGGATGTTCTTGTTTCCCTTTTATCAGGCCCTATAATAAACACAAAATGGATTTTCACTCTGAGGAATGTGTGTTTATAGGTTATTCTTCTCAACATAAGGGTTACAAGTGTCTCTCACCTTCTGGGAAAGTCTATATCTCTAGAGATGTAATCTTTAATGAGTCCAAATTTCCTTATCCTATTCTTTTTAATTCACACATCAACCAGTCCTATACTACCTCCCCTTCACAGTCTGTTCCTATCACTATACTTCAACCCAATTCTGAACCACTTTCTTTTGATACATCTCAATCAAACTCATCCACACCCTTTAATACTACTTCTTCATCTCAATCTGGATCCACTCAATCAATCCCTACACACTCTCCACTACAATCTGACTCTTCTCATCCAGAAACCCATTCCCAAAATAATTCACCATCTCACTCTCTATCCAGCTCTTCCTCATCCTCTTCATCCTTTATTCCTCTGACTAACACTCACACTATGAAAACTTGAGCTAAATCTGGAATTGTGAAACCTAGACTTAATCCTACCTTACTGTTAGCTCATGTTGAGCCCAGATCAGTTAAGAAGGCACTATCCTCTCCTCAATGGTTTACTGCTATGAAATCTGAGTATGATGCACTGATTTCTAACCACACATGGTCTTTAGTTCCTCTTCCTTCAGATAAACAAGCTATAGGTTGTAAATGGGTGTTCGGAGTGAAGGAAAATTCAGATGGTTCTTTGAACAAATTTAAAGCAAGATTAGTTGCTAAAGGATTTCATCAGAGGTTTGGTTTTGACTTTGGAGAAACCTTTTCTCCAGTTGTTAAGCCTATTACTATTAGAATCCTTCTTACTCTTGCTGTCTCCCATTAGTGAGATGTCAACAATACTTTTCTTAATGGGGATCTGAGTGAAGAAGTTTATATGGTACAACCCCCAGGATTTGAAGCAGAAGACACATCTTTAGTTTTGCAGGCTTCACAAGTCTTTATATGGCCTGAAACAGGCCCCTAGATCCTGGTTTCACAAGCTGACAACAGTCCTTTACAGTGCTGGTTTTAAGCAAAGCAAGTGTGATACTTCTTTGCTTCTCTTTACATCTTCTGGAGTGCTCATCTATGTTCTAATCTATGTTGATGACATCTTTGTCATTGGAAATAAGCCTCCAACTATTCACAAGCTCATTAACAAGCTGAATTCCTCTTTCTCTCTCAAAAACTTGGGAGACATTGATTTCTTTTTAGGAATCCAGGTTCAGAAACTTTCAGATGGCAGCCTAAACCTTTCTCAAGCCAAGTATATTAGAGATTTACTCAATCAAGTTGGTATGATAGATTCTAAGGGAGTTCAGACTCCGATGATCAGTACCTGCAAGCTTACTCATACAGGGAGTGACTCATTGCCTGATCCTTCTCAGTACAGATCTATAGTAGGTATCCTGCAATATGCTACCTTAACCAGACCTGAGGTCTGTCAGTTCATGGCTGCACCTTTACATGATCACTGGAAAGCAGTGAAACATATACTACGCTATCTTTCTGACACCACTACACATGGAATTATTATAAAACCCATCCCTCTATCCACTATGTCTCTACCCATTTCAGCATTCTGTGATGCTGATTGGGCCTATGATCCTACTGACAGAAGGTCTACATCAGGTTCTTGTACTTTTCTTGGTCCAAATATCATTTCTTGGTGGTCCAAGAAACAATTGTGTATTGCCAGATCCTCAGCAAAAGCTGAGTATAGAAGCATGGCTGATACTGCAGCAGAACTCCTATGGGTTCAGTTCCTCCTTCATGAACTCCAAGTTCCTTTTGCTACTCCAAGAATCTTTTGTGACAATCTAAGCACGGTTCAACTGGCTCATAACCCTGTCCTACACTCTCTCATAAAGCACATGGAGATTGATCTATTCTTTGTACGAGAGAAAGTCCAACTCAAGCAACTGCAAGTGTTTCACATTCCTGCTCAACACCAACTAGCTGATATTTTGACTAAGCCCTTGTCTGCTTCTTCTTTCATCGACTTAAGAACCAAACTCAGTGTGACTACTCCTTCAACTCCATCACCCTGAGTTTGAGGGGGGGATGTTAGATATAATACATCGTTTGTAATGACTTTAAGTCAGTTAGCATTCAGTTAGTTGGTTAGTTTAGTTGAGATGTAGCACTCTCTATAAATACTTTGTACACTTGCTTTACTTGATTAGTGAAATCATTACATTCATCATTCTCTCTCTCTGAATTCTATTAATTGAAACCCTGTCTCTACCTGCAATGCATATGCAAGGCGTATATTTTCTTCAATAATCTCTTGTCTGTATGATATTGCTTTGGATGCAGCATCAACCAGATCCTGTTGCTGTTGGTCAAAGTCCTGTACCATGAATTGATTTTGAATACCATTTTGGCGAGTTTAAATATGGTAAAAAGTAAAACATGACATGAAAGAAAGCATGAAGGCTCTCTGTACCATGCGCATATAAGCAATTCGCTTTTCCAGAACTAACTTCTCATTGCGTATTTGGGCTTCCTGACACAACAAATATATAGGTTAATGACACTGAAGTACTTGGAATAACCATGGTGCTGAATAAAGAGGTACATTACTTTGACTGAATATTCCCCAAGATGTTTTCTAAGTAGTGAAATCTCTTGTTCTCGATCAGGTATCTGTACAACAGTCATATTAGAAGACATAAGAAGAAAAATTACAAACAACTAGCTTATTTATTTAGATGAGAATGAGAATAAGAGTTATATTTTACGACTAAAATTCATCAAAAGCACCATGATAAAGCATAGGACTGCACTTTGAAGAGGAATAACGTATTTATATCATAGACAAAGTGTACCTGCTTCAAGCTGTTGGGATTATTTAGGTCATATATTGGCATCAACCCTTGTCCAGGTGCATTAAGCCACCTATCTTGTTCCCCTTCTTTTTGGTACCTACCTAAGCCAGTTCAATTGTCACTTTTGGAATATGTGTCAAAACATTGAGATTTTTAACTAAAGAATCCATGCCAATAGTTGTTTCCCGTTTTAGACATTCACGTTCTCATTGAATCCAAACGAAAAACCAAATATTTTAATGGAAACAATGTGTCATCACATACCTACTAGCAGAAAATGGTGACGCAGAAGGTGATGACAACTGAGAAAATCCTGAAGGATCCGGAGATGTCTGACCACCAGAGAGCATTCTAAGTGTGCCACTGAAATTGGAAGGCTCTCTGCTGCTTTCTCCCTGTGCTTGTAGACTAGTAAATGTATCATTTTGGACAAGATTATTAGGAAGAGTGTGCCTTGGGGTATTGTTGGGCCAATCACTTTGATTTCCAAAATGTGAGTTTGACATAAGAGTTCCATGTGGCTGGTGATGATAGTCATCCCATTGTTCAGCTGAATGAGAATTCTCACTTTTCAGCCCACCTGATTTCTGTTGAAAGGAGAGATCACAAACAGTGTACATTAAACATTTAAACATATGATAGAGAATAGAGATTATGAAAATAGAGGCCACAGTCACACACATAAATAAGCATAGAAACAATACTATGTCAGAGCCGTAATTACAAGTGAAAGTAGTCAAAGTATTACTTATTTTACACGATCATAGTCAATACTCAATAATCACAATCATGTATACTTTCAAACTTATATTGTTTTACTTCGTTGTGAAATTAATCACAAAACAGCATTATGTAAAGAGTCAATACAGTTTCGGCATCCTAGATTCTTACTGATGAACACTAACACAATACAGCATGAAGGTATCTGTTATGGACGTTCAGGCAGGGATACGGGACTGATGGTCCTTCACAGATCAGGAACCCTATTAGTAACACTCACAAGAGTCTTAATGGGCAAGTCAATAAAGTTCTAACCTATTAAAATATTGATATTGCAAACATAACTGAAATGGAATGCAAATATGAATGGGAAACTATAGTAAGTTGACTTGTGCTTATGTCTGCTTTTATGTTAACAAATAATGAAGTTGATGAGCTTAGTTTTAAAAGGCGTGAGGCAGCACGAGGCGTTTTCATTGATTTACCCGAGGCACGAGGCACGAGGCACTAGGCGACGAGGCGCGCGCCTCACGGATCTTAACATCATATCTTTGGTAAGATATATATTATACTATTTCTAGTCTTCTACATGAAGCACTCATCTCAAAAAATGATAACATCACAAAAATACTTCAAACTATTAAACAATCTTAACATACATCATAAGACAAATCAAATATTTATTAGGAGTAGCAAGAAATAAATATCAAACGGCATCATTGGCAAGAGTCAAGTCACAAAACTCAATCTTAAAATTTCAAAACATAGTTAATAAGATGTTATATAAAAATTCCCGAAATAGGACTAAAACAGTTTCAAAATTCCAAAATAGGACTGTCATGTTTTTTATTCCCAAAATAGGACTAACTACTGCCATGTTTAGAAAATACTGTCATGTTTGAAATCTGGTACTGCCAAAACATGGCAGTAATAGTCCTATTTTGGGAATAAAAACATGTCAGTCCTATTTTGGAATTTTCAAACTGTTTTAGACTTTTAGTCCTATTTCGGGTAATATCTCTATAAAAAATTGTTAATAATAAAATATGTCTTATATATTTGTTAAATAAAATCAAATATTTAGGTACCCTACTCAGCATGATCTAGAACAGACCAACAGAGGTAGTAACACTACAATTTCAAGGTAATATAAAATAATACATACTTAATTAATAAACTATCACACAAATAAGAGAACAAACTGTAGAAGAGAAGAAATAAATACTTACATGCGACGCGAGAAAGTAGCGGAAGAAACAGACTTGCGAGTCCTGCTACGCGAGCAAGAAACAGGACCGCAGATGTGGGAACTCGGAAGCAAACCAAGCGCAAAAGGAAGAAGGGAGAAGACTAGAGACTCAATCGCCAAAAGAGACATCCATGATGCGTGAGAAGCGCGCGCCTCTCAAAGGCGCAAAAGGCGTCAAAAAGCGCCATATAAGGCGCGCCTCTTGGAACCTATGCCGCCTGGGGGTGGAAGATGCGATAAAGTGATCACCTTAGGGCGCCTCGCGGCTTTGCGCGCCTCAGGCGCGCTTTTTTAAACCAAGTTGATGAGTTTGTTGATATATATGTAAAGTTGTAAGTTAAATACATTAAGAACAATTCACTGTGTATAGTCTTCCTAGAATGAAAGATAGCACACATTGATCAAGCTCTAAAAATTGATTATTGATAAAAGTCATTTTTAACTCAATCAAATAAACCTTTTTAAAATTGGGGTCGACAAAGAAATTGCTCGACGTTTTCAATCGCTAGGGGAGCAGAAGACCAAAGCATAGGCCGGTTCGATTTGTGCAACGATCGTCACAAGCAGAGCAATTTCGTTGGTGGAACGATAAAGAAGGCAGTTCGAAGATGACGGACACGAATGAATTTGGGGAAATAGACCGCCTAGTAAACGCATATGGTAATATGGAGATGGAGGAAGAAGATGAGTTTCTTTTTGTGGAGGCTAAGGAATCAGGGAGCGAGAAGGTAGGGTTAATTTTGGTAGGGACAATTGCCTCTGAAAAACCGGTACGTTTCTCATTCTTTCGTGATACTATGGTTAATGTGTGAAAACCCGTTAGAGGTGTCACTATTACTGAAATAGGAGAACGCAGATATTTGTTCCAATTTTATAGTGAAAGCGATTTGGCATGTGTTTTGGAGGATGGACCATGAACTTTTGACCAAAACCTCATTGTTCTTGCTAAGTTAAAGCCAAAAGACTTGCCTTTGCAAGTACCATTGAACAAGGCTGATTTCTGCATACAGGTTCATGATGTGCCAATGGAGTTTTTTCTGTGAAAATGCCATAAAAATTGGGAATTTTTTGGGGAACTTTGTTAGGGTGGATGAACAAAATCTCTCTGCTGCATGGAACCCATATATGAGGATAAGGGTTAATATTGACTTGAATAAACCCTGAAAAGGAGGTTGTTTCTCCAATCAGATGAGGGGCAAAACTTTTGTGTGAAATTTAGGTACGAAAAATTGCCTAGCTTTTGTTTTGCCTGCGGGATTATTGGACACACAGAAAGATTTTGCCCGTGCTATCCAGATGGCAAAGCCGCAAAGGCAAAAATGGAGATGTACTGTTTGGACCTGAGCTGAGAGCGACCAAAGGAATGTAGCAGCGTGGGGGAATAAATGGTTGGTCCCAGCTGGTAAAGGAAAAGGAAAAGAAGAGGGGGAACAGGAATGGAAAACTTGGGTGTGCAAGGAGGGCCGCAACAAGGGAAAGAAAGTGCTCACATGGGAGACAAATTAGAGCAGAAGCGGAGGCGAGTGGATCATGGAGAACCAAAGGCAGGGCTAAATAACATGGAAGTGGAGTTGGACTCATCAAAAAACGGGTAGGAGGCGGGTTACAATGCCCGCCTTATAGACAATTAAAAAATGCGACGGAGGAAGCTGCAGGGATGGAAGCACGCAAATTCCATCACCTGGAAATTTACTTTTGTTTTTACTTGTTTCTTTGCCAAGACTCAGTCTACTGTTGTTTTTTTATTTTTGCTTACAATAAGGGTATTAGTTTGGTGGGTAGGCTACTTATGATCAGCTTTTTTATGGATGGAGGCAATCAGGCTGACTCGGTCGCTAATATTCTCTTTGCTCTCACCGTTTAAGCGAGTAGTCCCGCTCTATATAGGGTGGACTATTCTATGTCTGGACATGACCAAGGTTTTGAAAGGCGAAATCGGGCCTCAAGGCCCGCTCTATATAGGGTGGACTATTCTATACCTTCCGAGGCGTAAGTCTCGAGGCGTAACGAGGCGTAAGCCCCGAAATTTAATTGGTTAAGTGTTGCAACAAACCTATGGCATATTGGAAAGTATAGATAATTCATAACAATAGTGTAGCTAAACAAAATCACTAAGTAAAAAGAAAATAACTACTCCTAAAATATTCAACTCAAAATAACTTAAAACTGAAATACCAAAGTCAAAATTCAAAGAACATAAAACATTAAAATTCTAAGACAAGAACATAAAACTGATAAAAGCTTGAGTGAAGTAAACTACTAAAGTACGTAGTTTACTTTTGACAAATAAATTAGTATTTAGAAGGCTGAGCCGCTGACTCCGCTGAGGTCCTGCGCAGCTCGTCTTCAACTTCCCGTTTCTTGTTCGTTGCTATCGTAGTATTAAGTGGACCGGCGATAGGAATTGGAAAGACAGGAGGACCTAGGGTTGTGGCCAAGTGATAAACGATACAGGTAATTTGTATTTTAGGATGTAAAAAATAAATCCAGGCCCCCACTAATTAAAAAAAAAGCCCAAAGTTACGTCAAAAAAGAGGCGTACGCCTCTTGAACGCCCTGCGCATTTACGCCAGATGCGCCGCCTCGTCAACAAAGGGCGTAAGCCTTGTTCCGGAAAGTGAAAGCTTAAGCCTTACATGCGTTAACAGAACGCATTTGCGCATCTGGTGCGTAAAGGCTAAACGCCTTTGAAAACCATGGACATGACGTGAGGGAACCGATGGGCTTTTGGGTTAGTTGGTCAAGTGGGAAAGTTAAGGTTTGGGTCTTGAATATTGTACTCGTTATTTTGAATCTAATATAAGCTATTTCCTCGCAAAAAAAAGCACACCAAGAATAAAGTTTTTAAGGAAACACAAAAGTAGTTTTCTTCATTCAGGAGCCTCGTGTTTTTATATACGAGAGTCCTTGTCTGATACAGGAGAGTCCTGTTGTGCCTCCTGTTTTCATGCAGGAGAGTGCTCCTTAAGACCAGTGTTCTCCTATTTGAGTCTTCTACCTTATCTTGAGCCTTCTGTTTTACTCTTCTGACTGCTCTCTTCAGTAGACTACTGATTCTTATACTTCATTCGAACCTTCTTTTGAGTCTTCTATGCCTTAGCTTGCTTAAGACCAAACAAAGCTCTCTGAGTCTTCTGTAACAGCAGACTCCTGAGTGTTTCATCCAGTCTTCTAGATTAAGCCTACTGGCACGGCAGTGCCCTGTTTTTCCTGAGACGTCTTTTAGCCTCCTGTTTTGAGTCAACTAGACTATAACTAAATCAGTCTATATCCTATTTCTGTTTTAAAACTGTCTTTTTCCTATTGTCTAAATAAGACTTATCAATCGGAATAACATATTTAGCTTTTAGAATAATTATTCCTACAACGTGTTGGTGGAACCACCGATCACCTTCCTTGCTTGTTCGAGAAGTTGGACTTTTATTTAAAACACCATAGTTTTGAATCCTTCTCTTCATTATCATAGTCTATAAGAGAATGTTTGTTAGAGTTACAACTATATTTTGGAGATTTATTTGCACTTAAGTACTTAACCACTTACGTGCCAACGAATAGAATCATCTGATGTGAAAACTGCTAGTTCCATATCTGAATAAATTCTTGATGATTTTTAAGTATCACTTTTGAACATCATAACCCATAAAGAGAAAAAGGAAAATAATCTTACATGACAGGTTTATCCTGGAGCTGTGGACAGCCCCGGTTAAAATCTAGGTACGCTTTACCATATAAATGAGATAAATGACAACTGTATATATCTGTTACTCCAGGTAGCAAAAGATGGTACTATAGGTGATGTATATATAAAGTTATAAGAAGCATAAACTCATACAATCTCACGCTCCTTTTCTCGCTAAATAAGAGATCAGGGTGAAACCTATTTCCACGCAAAGATAACGAACCATGGTGGAGGGTTTGGGAGCTCTCAAGTGACAGACAACAAAAAGTGCAATTTATGAAACTAAGAATGAGTGCACATCTCAAATCACTTACATATTTTTCAAGCTCCTGGATCTTTTTTTGAAGCTCAAGTCTAAGTTGATTATTCTCTTCAACCTGTAAACAGAAAATACAAGAATGATTAACTTCTCTAGTTATGACAAACTTTCTTTAATCAGGGGGGAAAGAAAAAGAATAATTCGCTGAATTGCCAAAATTATTTGTCTAAATCCATAAATGGAGATCAAAGACAGAAAAACATGACATAGAGTGTCTAGTGTTATGCAAATGCCTAGTATTCTAAACAAGCATGTTTTCATCCACATTACTTGGACTATCATTTCCCATATGCTAATGACATGGAAGAAATTCATGCCAGTCCAAAATATGGAGATTGGTATGAGAAAATATGATATCAAAGCATCCATAAGCTTATTACATTTTTCCATGGGTAATTCAGATATTTACCAGTTGATTATCATAAAAGGGTAAACTGCCTTCGCTTCCATGAATTTTAAAAAATAGAAACCTTCTTTGAATTATTATAATCATAAATCATCATTAGCCTTAATGTCCATTCTCTAAAATTTTGAACTCCCATCAAGACAGAACCCGTCCCCGAAAATTCTGCAAGAAATTTATATCATTATTAGCCCATTTGGTAACACTTATTTTCGGCTTATCAGCTAAATTTTATAATGAACACGTAAATTTTCATTTGCTAAAGAAGCTATGTAAGCTATTTTTCATATACTTCTTCTTTGTTTTATTAAAAAATAAAATATAATTTTTTAATCATTTGATACAGACGCTTCAGCCAGAGTTTCACAAAAATCGAGTCAATTTTAGTTTTATCAAACGGCTCATATGTGGATACATGCAAAAAGAAAGAGAGGGTGAAAAGACCTGTAGCTTAATAGTAGTTTCAGCTGCCTCTACAGCTTTTTTGACCTGGAATAGCCCATCGTTATTGCTCCCACTGATGTTTCCCGGATCCTGCATGCGCAAACCTGCCAATTTACTCTCTAAACTCCCCCCTCCATTTTCCATCCCTTTCCGCTTTCAACCTTCAAATTTTCCAATTTAGACACCAATTATTTGAAATGAAACAGTACAACGTCATGTCTTCTCCACCCATAAAAACTTTTATAGATATAAATACGTAGTGATATGCGTTTGAAAGAAAGAACAGGAAAACCCTAAGAATGACAGAGTTAAACAGTGCCGTTCTCTAATAGCCATCCCTTCATACGTGGATACTAGCTCTGGCACTTACAGGGAGAGGAAGCGGCTTGGGGAAATAGATTTAAGCAGATTCAGGCGCCGGGAAGATACGTGCTGCAGAGAGGTTGACAGAAAGGGGTGTGGCGGATTGCGAGAACTTGAGTCTTGAAGAACGAAGACTGGCGTTGGAAACAGGAGTTGGTTTGGGCGGACGGATCAGATGCGGGTCTCTCTCACACTGTCCCCCTTCGCCTTCTTCCTTTGTTTTCTTGTGCCTCCACACCCTTCACTGAATTTTTAAATGTACTGCTACTTTTAAATTACCTCACGCTCAATGAGTAATTTCTATCAAAATACTTTGTCAAAAAAAGTCCATTGGACTCTCTATACGGAGTATATACTATCCTCCGTAGCTCATTAATTGCAACATTGGAATATATACATTATTCATGCACTTTACTTTGACTACATTTTATTTGTTAATGTATGTGAATTGTTTTTTTTTTTGAAAATTGTTGTTAAATTTGTCTCATTACTAAGTTTTATAATCTGATTTTTATTTTATTTTTACTAATATTAAATATAATGACGATCAAAGTTGTGCGTTGACAAACGTGAAATGTTGACGGTTGCAACTAAAAAGAGACGGAGAAGTATATTTTATATTTTGAAAACACTCGTTTAAACTAGGAATAATGACATTAATATTACTATTTAGATTTCTAATGACACAGATATTACTGCATTCCATTCATTCCAAAAAAGTGGCCTAATTCAAAATTATACCTGTTTTTAATTAAACCCGACTACCCCCTCGCCAACTCACCGCAACTCTTTTTTTCTTCTCACCGCAACTCACCGCAACTGGACGACTACTTCTCCGACCGACTACCTTTCTTCTTCTACATCAATCTCTCTAACCATTCTCGATTTGTATTCAGGCGTGATCCAAATTTGTTAAGGTAATTCCGGCATCGAGTTTCATATTTGTTCTCCATTAACGATTAGTGACTATTTGTTGATTTTTCTAAGTAGAAACAAATCGTTTTTTCTCGTTTTTTCTTTTTCTTCTTCGTATGTTCTTTGTATCTACGAGTAGTTTAAGTTTTTGAAATTATTCATGCCTGCACTTCATTCAGAGTAGTCCAATATTTAATTTTTCATATCCATCTCTTTCAATTCTCGCCACTATCAAGGTATATATATGCTTAATGAATTCCATTAGTACAATACTGATTAGGTTATTCTGGACTATTTTATGATGAATAAGGTTAGGTTATGTGCATTTCAACTCACTTCCTTTGAAACATTTTGTGATGTTGTATGTTCATTTTGCTTTCTATTTTGGATACATTTTTGCAGACATGTCTGACAGTGATTTCACTTCGCCCCTCAATCCAACCCCATCACGACGATCATCTAGTTGTTTATCCTTGTCACACAGGGCAAAACCAGTTAGTTATTTTGTTTCTGTTCCTTATTGAGTTGCTTCTATTTTAATCTAAATATTATATGTAACCAACTATTGCATGAATATTCTTACTTGTTATTTTTATTCTTTCTCTTTTCCAGATCTATACGAGATTGGTCAACAAGGATGTTGTCTATGAAGACGTAAAGAATATGAGGGTTAATAACTTTTCCAGGCTTTATGGGTCAATAAATCTAGTGAGGTCTAAACTACTTCCTGACCAGCTTGAGATGTTTAAGACTTCACTATTTGGAAAGTTTTTAAAAGCCAAGGATATTGTGACACTCCATAAACTTAATAAAAAGAATTTAATATTAAAGATGTGATATTCATTTGTGGATCAATCTTCTTTAGTTTATGTTTCGGGACAAAACATCTTTTAAGAAGGATAGAATGTGACACCTCGAAAAATTTAAATAAAATAATAATAATAATAATAATAATAATAAAATAAAATAAATTATCTTATCAGCCAGATAAGATGTTACGAAAGTAACATTTTAATAACTAAGTGAATCAGATAAAATTTTAACAACGATGACATTTTTAACCAGATAAAAATGTTTCAATAATAAAAGTGACATTTTAACAATTTCAAAGATATTAGTTAATAATGCGTAAAAAAATGTATATATACGTACCCTAAATACCACACAAAACAACAATGTTAGAACGATTGACATTTTAAATCAAAAATATAAATGCCTAATAATAATACGAACTCATAGATAACAATAATATGCATATAAACCTGCATCGCCAATTGCTCCGTATATACTTACGAGTATATAGCAATGATAGATATAACAATAATACATACTCCCTCAACCAATAAATATCAAGTTACGTATGTGCTGGACCAACGACCAGCAAACCCACCTGCGTAAGCCTAAGCCGTTCCCAAAATGTCAAAAATACACATAGGAAAGGAGTTGTAATAATATATACTTTATATAATGCATATAGCATACACACATGCATGACTAACAAGAAACCAAGATTTCCAACTCACTCAAGACACTCATCGTAGCCTCGAATCCTCCATTTATCGCTATAAATAGCATCCTCAATTTCTTTCACTCACAAACCAGCGTTTGGTATACAGTTATACACACGCATATACCACAAAATTTAGAAAGAAAATAAAAAGTGAGTAAGAGAGAAACAATCGCTAGGAGAGGGAGTTGTTCGCCGGAGTTTGCCGGGCTGATTTTCACATCTAGACACGGAGGGCGAAACGGAACTGCAACTGCAACCAGTCCACTGCTGCCTTGCCGGAAAACTCCTCTACCGACGTCGTTCCGCTCGTCCGTCTTTGGTGAGGTAAGCCGACGTCCTCTGCGTTTTCTTCATTTCCGGTGACTAGGTGTAGAAGATAAGCACTGCGATATATAATTACGGCTGAAATGCTACTAATTTTATCTTACAGTTGGGCCGATCTACTTTTAACCTTAATCTAGGCTACTACATATTAAACTAAAGCAGTGAAATGTATTGTTATATCACAAACGACATCAACAACGTCAATAATACTATCGTAATAATAATAATACTAATAATACTACTACTACTAATAATAATAATAATAATAATAATAATAATAATAATAATAATAATCTGCAAAATTGATAAATTTGAGATGAGAAATATTAATGATGAAGTTGGCTTGGTTGATTGATAGTAATCACTTAGATAAATTTGTTAATAGTTAGATAACTTAATTACATAATGCTAAAACGAATTGATGAGTAATTAATAAAAACTAACATACGTACATTATATTAAAATAATAACTAGTCATTTGGACTTAATACCATAATCAGATTAAACAAATTTGGATAGGTATTATTTTCACTAATTATCGGATTAACTGAAGTAGATTCATAAAAATTAAAATACGGACTCAAAAAAAAATGTTGAGTAGATTAATAAAATCAGGTTTAGTTAATGATGATTGGTTAATTTAGATAATTGCTAGAATATCCAGATTTACTAATAATGTTGATTAAGGTAATTATGAAATCTGAATATTCTAATATAATTCGGATTATTAACTAAATTATTGGATTAATAATATAGGTGTCAATAATAAAAACAAAATTATGATGAATTGAGCTAGTTAATTATTTAATACCTTTTTATTATCGGACTAGATTAAAATTAATAAAGGATTGTTGTATTAATTACCGAATTAGTTTAAATAGCTTCAATAATACTATCGCATGAGATAGTTATTAAGTACGAACATATTTGTAATAAACTATAATTGAAGTAATTTGAATATGTTATAATCCATATATCTTAACAATATTAAAATATAGTAAATTAATTGGATGTTTTATAGGTAGAATAAATTAATGGTGATTAATAAATTAAAAGGTTGATTGATTAAATGCATTTCGGTTATTATAATATAATTAAAGTGTTCCAATAAAAGAAATCATGGCTAAAGTAATAAAGTGATTTCACTAATAAGAAGTGATTAAGAGATAAAATAAACTCGAATAACTAATTATATTAATAAATTCGAATATCAAAGTGAAAGAGAAAAATCGGGTAAATTATTAATAGAATAAGTGACTAATTATATCATCTTAATTGAAAAGGTGAATATTTAGAGACCGGATTTGAGAAAGAGAATTAGGAGCATCAGGACTTAAGGTAAGTTTCTCTGCCAATCCAAAATTGTTTCCTCGTATTATATGTTTATTATGCATTATGTGATTAAGTGTGAATTGTGAATTTTGTGTATGTGATTTTGAGAAGATATTATATATATGGTAGTTGAGAAATATAAATTAAGTACTTTTGGGGTATTAAATATTTTTATATACCTTCGAGACTTTTTAGAGAAATTGAGAAGTATTTTTGAAGTATTATTTAATTGAAGATAAAATTTACATTTTTATAAGAAGTTAGCATCTCGGGAGTAATCCGAGGTGTCGGTTTTCCACATCCGGATAAATGTGGAGGGTGATTAGGGATGCTACTACTAAGAAGTACAATTTGAGTTTGAAGTGACATTTGGATCTATGATCCCTTTTAAGAAGAAGTTATGGTAGTATTCCCTAATCATTCAAGAATTTTTAAAGGTGGGGTGGTTGGGTTCCGACCACTCGCGATGACTTACTACTCGGAGGGCTTGGAATCCCTTTAAGGGGGTGTGCACACTTAAGGTAGTCGTTTCGTTTCCGCATTAGCAGTTGTGGTACCGGCAAAAGTCCCGGGGTGGCCGTACATAATAACGTAACCACCGGGCTCAACCAGAGTGTTGAGCACCGCCCTTTTAAATTACTAGAAAGATAGAGAAGAAGTGAATTTTGAGAAATTCTAAGAGAAGAGTTACTGTAGTATTTTCAAAGAAAAGTTGAGAACTTTAATAAAGAAGCGATTTTGAAAAAAAAAATCAAAGAGGAGAATTTTGGCGGAGTGTGTTGTTTTTATATAGTATTATATGAAAAATTATTTTTCGCCAAACCTGATTATTTTACGGGGTTGGGTAGTATTTACTTAGCTCTAAAGCTAATTTTTGTTTTCTTTTCTTTGTTTTGTTTTCTACACTTTACTGGGGGATGATGGCTATGTTGATTGTTGATTGCATGCGTCTGAGAGCGGTTGCTAGATGCCTTAGTAAAACCTAGACATTAATGAACATTTTAGTTACGTTGAACATTTGTTTCTTCATATTACAATTAATTATGACTGTTTTATTTTAGTTGCCTGTGCATCCGGTTAAGAGATGACCGGATGTGGCGGTAACACCCGTTTCCCTATTTAAATTATTTCCGCTGCAAGATTTTTATCAATTTCGAATGTTTATAAATTATTATTTCAAG